CACTATCTCCAGGCCATCTGAGACAATAGTCCTGGGTGAAAAGGGAACACCCTTAATCTCATCTTGGCTGCTGGGCTGAGTCCCATTGTATGGTGGAGAATTCCTAACTGGGAAAGCCTGAGAAAGGCCCAGGGCCACAGTTCCTACCCAGTCTGGCTGTGTGGAGTTAGCCTAGATCACCGCCTTCCATCCAGGATCTGGAAGTACTCGGCTTCCGCAGGTCTCCAAGGCTCCAATCTACCAGACTCAGTTCACCATTGGGATGAACACAATTTGTGTATCTGGCAGCCAGCAGGTGAGCTTTCGTGGCAGAGCTATATTCGCTATCCTCCTTGGCTTGCGAACTTGCCAATTCTAACCCGAGTTCATGTTTTTAAAAAAGGAATTTGTTGAAATCAGCAAGAGGTAATAAGGATTAGTTACCGGTTCCCAAATCCTTCTAGAGTTACAAGCCCAAAGAATGAGTGAGCTTCCTGCCCATTTTCTGTCACCGATGATGACAATTCTACTGGGCCTATCCTATCTGACTAGGACACCAAATATCATGCATGTGAGGGAGAACTTTCCAGGCACAGCTGTCCTCAGTATCCACAGGGAATTGGTTCCTTGTCTCCTGTGGATATCAACATTGGAAGATGCTCTAGTCCCTTACATAAAGTGACATAGCATCTGCATACTCCCACCACACCCTCCTAAACACTTTAAACTGTCTCCTGGTTACTATAATCCCTAACACAATGCAAATGCTAGGTAAATACATGTTTCACTCATTGTTCGGGGCAATAATAATGAGAAAACTCTGTTCGTGCTCAGCACAGACACTTCTTTTTCTTGGCTATTTTCAATCCACATTGGTTGGATCCACCCATGTAGAACTCGTGGCTACAGAGCGCTGACTGTATTCTAAATTTGTTATGCAATGGCTTTTGGCAGCTGTCTGGAGAGCAAGCAGAGAAGCAATTGGACCAAGATGGAGGGAGGTTTGATCTCTGGCACGATAACTCATGAACAGATATGTTGATCATCAGACCCTGGGTTGCTTGGCTTGAACCTCCACAGTCCTGTGATGTTACCCTCATCTTCATGGTCCAACATGGTTCACCCCCAAGTTCTCATTCCAGGGGTCAGGGAGTGTCCAATCTAGAAGTTACATACACCACCCATATTCATATCTGCTTTGTTCTGAATGTGCCCCCCAAATCCATGTGTTGGAAATGTACTACTTAGTCATAGTATTAAGAAGTGTGGTTTTAGGCAGGTAGTGGTGGCGCACGCCTTTAACCCCAGCACTCGGGAGGCAGAGGCAGGTGGATCTCTGTGAGTTCCAGGCCAGCCTGGCCTACAGAGAGAGTTCCAGGACAGCCTCCAAAACAATACAGAGAAACCCTGTCTCGAAAAACAAAACAAAACAAAAAGCAAAAACAAAAAAATAAAAAGCAAACAAAAAGAAATGTGGCCTTTAGGAAGTGCTAAGACACAGGGGCAGAGCTCCAATGAACAGGTTCCTGTGCTGGAAGCTTGCTCCTCTGTGAGGTGGTATTGAGGTGGCAGGATTTTGTGAGGCAGGAGCTCGGTCCTGCCACAACTTGATGTGCCATGGTTTGTGCAAACCCATGGGAGGCCTGCCTCTTTCTGAAGGGAGATGGAGGAGGAGCAGATGGCGGGGGTGGGGGTGGGGCAGATGGGAAAAGGGAGGCAGTGGGAGGGGAGGATGGAGGGGAAACTGGCTGGTATGTAGGAAGTAACCAGGTCCTGGTGGCCCTACTCTCAGGAATGCATACCACTGATCTCTGGAAGTGCATAGGAGTTGGCAGGGGTGGCTTAGTTCCTGCCTTGTTACAAAGCAGCAGGAGTGAGCTCTCCTCTCCTGCTACCTGCCTGGCCACGGGTGTCACCCGTCTCCTCCACGTGCACGAGTGTTATGTGACGCTGCCCACCATGAGGTCTCCCCAGGTACTGCCCTGTACTCTTGGATCCTTCAGGACTGGGAGTTAAGTAAACTTCTTTATAAAACACGTAGCCTCAGGCACTTTGTCTGTAGCGACACACAATGGACTACGAGGATGGAGCTCGTGACCTTACAGAGAGGTTCAGGCACCCCTCCCCCTCTTTTCCTCCCCCACTTCTGCCCTAGAAAACACAGCAATGGGCTTCATGTCGGACAGCAGAGGACAGCCCGCGGCAGGCACACGGACTTGTGTCAAATCATTTCTATTGTTTATAAATTGTTCCAGTCTGTGGAGGTTCTCCAAGAGGAACGGAACCGACAGAATGAACATATATTAAAGGGGATTTATTAAGTTGGCTAACACAATGCAGCCTGGGTGGATCAATAATGGCTGTCTTCATGGCGGAGAAGTGGAGAACCTGGTCACCGTTCACCGTCACTGGTCACTGCCTCAAGCAGTTTGTCACCGGAGACCTGTGTTGCACGCTTTCTCACACCACCAGCCCCCAAATCATTACTCGGAGACTTATTATTAGTTACGAACACTTGGCTTAGTTTAGGCTTGTCCCACTAGGTCTTGTAACTTGTTTTAACCTATTTTTCTCCGTCTACTTTTTGCCTCGAGGTTTTTCACCTTTGTCTCATTCTGTGTGTCCAACTTCCCTGCTTCCTCTGTGTCTGGCTGCCTGGCCCCAGGCATCTCCCTCCCTTGATCCCTCAGTCTCTCCTTATTCTCTCTGCCTACCAGCCCTGCCTATCCCTCCTCTGCCTACCTATTTGTCCATTCAGCTTCTTATTAGACCAATCAGGTGCCTTAGGCAGGCAAGGTGAAACAAATGTGACACATCTTTACATAGTTGAACACACGCAGCATAAACAAAGGCGACACATCTTTACATAGTAGAACACACACAGCATAAACAAATGTGACACATCTGCACATAGTAAAAGTAACATTCCACAACAGACTTGGGGTGGGGGCGGTCTCTGGAGACCCACTGGTCTTCAATATACTTTATAAGGCTGAAGACGCCGGGCTGTGGGGCCAGTGAGGCCTGGTGGCAACAGGGCAGATGAGCTCAGAAAGATGCAAGCCACGCAGGTGAACTTACAACAGTGGGAAAGACAACACAAAGGCAGGCTGACTAAAAGTCTTCCTGCTGGACCGTCTTTTATCTGGCTGCCACCACTACAAGGGGGTCACTCGAATTTGGGGTGGGTCACATCAGTCACCTGAGCAAGAAAATCCCACACACCGGTGCCCACTGGCTCATCATTTAGTTGCTTCGAAATCCAGTCGAACTGACAACGAAGATTCACCATCACCTCCACACCCCTTGGGTGGTTTGTCTCAAGCAGACTAAGACAAGCTCCCTTCGGTCTCCGTGTTGTCACATGACTGCACATCATTACAACAACAACAATAATAACCAAAAGGCCATGGAGAGCAGACTTCACTCGCGGTCACCCTGTGCCTAATAGAAGACGTGTTGGTTCTAGCATGATATGAAAACGGGGGAGAGGAGTGATTCAAGGAGGTGGACACCGGTTATCCCTTCGTGCCTGTCTCCTCTCAGGAGAATTCTCTCAGGAGCCAGGGCCATAGAGTGACTCTAAGACAAGTGCCCAGAGGCGACTACATGTGCTCATCTCCCGTTTTCCCAAACTATAGCCCAAGCCCATAACATCTGCAGCCTTTGAAAGGAGGATTTCTTTAGGTAGCTAAATTGTCTTGAGCCTTCACAAGTTCAAGACTCTAGGTATGTGGCTCATCTTCCATGCCCCAATATCCCAGAGGGGTTTTGAGGAAGACGTCATGTTTCATTGTTTTTTTTTTTAATTACATTTCATTAACTTACTTCGTGTGTGTCTGGGTATGTGGTGGTGGTGGGGTGTGTCACATCTTACTTGTCGAGTCACAGGACAGCTTTCAGGAGTTGGTTTTTCCCTTGCACTACGTGGGTCCCAGGGAGTCAGGTTTGGCTGCAATTACCTTTACCCACCGGCTCCTGGGCTTTGGGTGTCTCCTGGCTCATGGTGCTTCTATGGGGCTTCTGTGTCTCCTGTGACCATCCCCCTGCCTCAGCCCCGTACCTTTACAGTGCCCTCCTCTGAGCTGGTGGCAGGCTCCTGTTCTACCCTTTTCAGTGCTCGGGAATGGCAAGGCCCTTGTCCAGCAGATGGTTCAGGGTCAGTGGAGGGTTACCATGTCACCAGGGACAAAAGCGTCAAGTGCAAGGCCACATATCAAGGTGGCCCTCTAGTAGAGCAGATCCCCTTTTGTAGACAGGGGCCTCAGGGGACCTTAGCTTCCTAAACCCTAATGGCCCATTACTGTGTTCTCCTAAACAGCGGGGCTGCCAATCAGAGAACGGTTCCTTGCATGGGCTACACTGTTTGAAATTTAAATAGTTATCTTATAATTAAATTTATTTTATAATTATTTCAATTATGTGTATGGGTGTGCGTCTGAGGGTGGGTATGTGCATGTGAGGATAGGGTGTCCTGTCCCCTGAAGCTGGAGTGACAGGTGGTTGTGTGGCTCCCGACGTGGGTGCTGAGGACTAAACTTGGGGTCTCTCCGGAAGAGCGCCAAACCCTCTTAACCGCTGAGCCAGTCTCTGGACATCCCCAGCTCCCTTTGAAAAAGATTTATTTGATTCTCTCCCCTCTGTAAGTGTCGCATTTCATTTAGTCTTTGAAACCATCCTAGAAGAGAGGTAAGGTCCCCGTTTCCTAGGAACGTGAAGCTGTTCATCCAAGGCTGCACAGGGTAACAGGTAGGACTGGGTCACATATTGGCTTCCAGTACCCTGACCTGCCAGAGGGGCAGCCCTTTAGGTCATCTGGGAGTCCCCAGTACTTTGGCTCTTGTTTCTTCTATGCCCTTCCACGTCTAGCCAGACACGTCCTATGACAGCCACATGAAGGACACACCTGCCTGGCCAGCCCACTCCCTGGGCAATCTCTGGGCACATCCAATGCAGCCATCCTCCAAACACACCCTGTGGACTCAGATCCCCAAAGAGTCACACCCTCCAGCAAGAGCAGATCAGTCCCGCTGGGTCCGGGGAAGCTGGGTTGAAGGACTCAAGTTAAATAGTTGCTTTCTTCCCATGGGTCCCCCACCCCTTGCAAAGTGGTCACTGATTAACCCTTCGGACCAGATAGCCCTTCACAGGGGAAGAAAATAAGTGCTTATCCTGGATCATAAAATATCAATATTGACTTCTCAGGGTAAGGCCAAAGGGGCCATGGGGGCTGATGCGGGAGGCTTACCCTGTGTGAAGCTCAGGATAACCCGACCTGCTTTCCCATGGAGCATAGCGAAACCAGGCATCGGATCCCTGAAGAAGCCATATTCCCGGCTGCTCCCCTCAAAGATAATTCCTAAAGTGGGGCTCAACTCTTGGGGGCCTGCCCCTGCTACTGGAAGGTGCTCAGGGCCCCTACCTTTCTGTATGCCCTCTTTTCTGACGGCGGTGGTACCAGAGCCCAAATTCCTGGGTCTGCTCTGTCTTTCCTAACTATGGGACTGGGACCAGTGATGGACCAGTGCTTTTTTTGTGGCAGTGTCACAGAACAGCCCGTGGTGCATAAGGATAGCTGAAGGCGATCATGTCCAGGAGTGTGTGTGCTCCTGTAAAAGGTGGCCCTCTCTACCTCTGCTCTTGGTAAGCGCGTCCCTTTATGTCTTCCTTCTTGCTCCCGGCTAGGTTTCTCAGATGTGGCCCCGGGGTGGACAGCGTCACATACATCCAGGTGGAAATCAGAGAAGGCTGCACCAAGCAGGACCTCATCTTTCCCTCTGGCACATAGTGATCCAACCCCTCCGCCTCCCATCTGCGCGTGCCCTCCATCAGGGGCTGGAGGAGGGCTCCTCCGTCTGTGTGGATACTCTATCGGGGGACACCACTGCCTAGAGCCACTGCTCAGCGAGCTTCACATCACCTCCAGGGTCCGCGCTTATCCGCGCCCCTCACTGTCCTGGGGAAAGGTGCTTCCTCTGCCCCTTCCGTTCCTCCCTAACGGGGGAACGTTCATTCCCTCCAGGTGGGAACTTTCACGGAAGCTGGGTTTAGCAAACGCAGGTGGTGGTGCCATAGCCCTGATTCTCACCGAGAGCCAGTGCCCGCTCCTCGCCTGGGCTTTCCCTCCCACCCTAGCTCCCGGTGAGCCTCACCTGATGCCGTGGAAGGCCAGGGCCCCAGTGCTTCCAGAGGGGCTGTATCCCTGAGTGCTGGTCAATGATTAATACTGTGCAAACTTGGGGCCAGGCTAGGCCTCCCAGCAAGGCTGGGACCAGACAAAGGCCCCCTGTGTGGCTGAGCCACCATCGTGGTGAAGGGTTACTGATTGTCAACTCCAGCGGAGATGGGGTGGTGGCTGCTACCTAGCCAGGGCGGAGGGTGCTCAGCCTCTGTGCCTGGGCAATGTGGGTGGGGGATGGGTTAAGCTGCTAAGCTATTAAACTCACACTTGTGAGTTGTGTTGGATGGAGGCTGGAGGGACTACGGGGGGGGGACTCACCAAGCCGGATGAGAGACCGTTAGTTGCCCACCTCCAAGCACAACTCTCGGACCCTCCTTCTAATGCTCCAACAGTTTCTCTCTTCCTTACAAACTCTGCTGTGTTTTCTCTGTGCTGGCCTATATGTCCGCCTGTCTCTCCCCAACCCCCCAGTCTTCCCCCATGTTTCCTGCCTTCCCTTGCAACGTTCCCATGGCCCAGGAAACCCCTTCCTCTTCCTCCCCTTCTTTCTCCTTCAGGAAGCCCCTCCAGGTCCTCATCTTGTCATTCTGGTCCCCATCCTACCTGAGGCCCCTCTGACACATCTCACCTCACTGCGCCCGTCTCTTCCCAGAGCCCCCCTCCTCTGGGCACCCTCTGCTCCCATCCCTTGATGCCCACCCTTTAGCCCACAGGAGCACCACCAGCTCTGCCTGGCAGGTAGGGGGAACCTCAGTTCCAAGGGTGGAAAAAGTAGGGAGTGAAGGGGGTCCCAGGAGAGCTGGAGAGGCTGTGGGTCTCCTCCTCGCCCCTCAGGTCTTCGCCTAGGACTAGAGACTGGCGAGTGGGAGATAATAGACAGCCTCAACCGTGGACGCTGTTTACTGTGCAGAGAGATGCTGGGGTTTATGCTCCCTTCCGTGACAGAGTCACCTTGTCACGGGCAAACATCCCTGCTCACCTTCTAGAACTCCCCCAGCTAGGCCCAAGGAGTATTTTCTGCGGGCATGAGGGGAAAGCCATTAGGAGCTCAGGGCTTCTAGGAGGACCCCAGGGGACATGCCCCTGCCAACTGCATCTCTACTGCCCTCGACATGGAATTCCAGACTTGCCCTGTGGATCTAGCAGCAAGGGGGCAGACACGAGGGAGAGACAGGGAGAGCTGGGGGTGAGGCTAGCAGGTGGGCTACAGTGAATAGGGACCCAGGAATCAGCTCCACAGAGTCTGCTCTCCTCTCCAGTGCCCAGGAGGGTTTCTGAGCAGAAACCGCAGCTCCTAACGCCAATCCCAGCAGGAGGGCGCCACCTGCTGTGGGGGAGAAAGCAGTGCAGCGACTAGCTCCTTGTAGGACTGGAGAACTTGAGGTAGATGCTCCTCAGGGACCAGAGCCTCTACTGGACTTCAACGTGGGCCCAGCTGCCTCTCAGACAGCCCATAATTTAGCCAAACCATCAGGCTCCTCCCTCCTCCTAGCCTTCCACAGCCCCACTCACTCAGGCCACCCCGAGGGGCGCAAGTTCAATCCTATTATCTTCTACTGGACCTCACCTGGCTCTGCCCACAGCCCACGGTCCTTAGCCTCCTGCACGGCTTCCTGTGTGGTCTTCCGCCTGCAGGTGCTGCCTCAGGGCTGGCTTTCAGACTCCCAGGAGAAATCTCAGACTGAACAACCGAGATTGGGGTCTGGGCTGCAAGGCCAGAGCGCTTTGCCGGAAGCAGGCAGCGTTCGGCCTGGCACCTGAGTCGGTAACTCTGAGCGGAGCAGGATGGGCTCCACCGTGGAGCTGACACGTTGCTGGTGCCTGTGCTTCCTCCTACAGGTCTTGCCGTTCTCCCCCTTTCTGCTCTAGACGGACACCTGGGGATCCTTGTTCCTCTCCAGAGCTCACCGTTACAGACCGTCTTCCCCAGTGCCACAGGATCTCACGAGGCTGAGTCTCTCACGCCTTATTAAATTCCTGCACAACCTCACTGTTTTGTTCTGTTCTGTTTTTTCCTTAAACCAAGCCACCTTGCCTGGTTTACACATCTCTTTTGACCTGCCCAGCTTTGCCTGCAAACACTCTCATTCGCGGTGTAGAACGCTGTATCTGGTTGTGCCTATTCCTCTACCCTCTTCCAACAGGGTGAGCCCCCCAGGATATCCAGTCCCTCCCCCACCCTCCTCAGGCTTCATAGACAGCGCTTCCACACCTAAAAATCTGGCAGGAACGAATGAACGAACACACCAAAGGCCAAAGATGAGAGGCCAGAAATTAGCATGCTGCTCAAACAAAAGACCAAGCTGCCCGGCCCCGGGGTTCTTACGCTCCCCTTCCCTCACTTAGCGCTGTCCCTCATCCTACTAGATTGTCCCTGTCCCACTGGATTATTTCTAGATCCTTTAGGAGACCTACCAGGCCATCTGGCTAGGAGCTTCCTAGCAGCCTCCTGTCCCCAAGCTCAGAATGTCCTCACCTGACTCTGCATAACTCTATTGCCACACAGACAGGAGCAACTCCTAGCTCTTGAATGCCCCCCCCCAAAGTTCCCCATCTTAACTAGAGAACAGGTCTCCTGCATCAGGGAGCTGCTTGGGCTTGGTCAAGGGGCTGAGGTTGTTCCAGTTGCTGTCTGGCTGTGCAACTGGCGGCCCTCAGAAAGCTCCTACTATGTTTGGATCTGAAATAGTTTCCTGGTCTTGTCAGAAGGACATCGCATGACCTGGGATACCGTGACCTTTCTTTCTTTCTTTCTTTTTAAGATTTTATGTATTACTAAGTATACAGTATTCTGCCTGCACGCCAGAAGAGGGCACCAGATCTCATTACAGATGGTTGTGAGCCACCATGTGGTTGCTGGGAATTGAACTCAGGACCTCTGGAAGAGCAGCCAGTGCTCTTAACCTCTGAGCCATCTCTCCAGGCCACTGTGACCTTTCTGAGAGCAAGGGAAACGTAGTTAAGTGTGGCTTCTGAGGCCAGGCTGCCATGGAAGGCTGGAAAGCACCTACCTGTTCCTTCATGTGACTTTCTACGAGGGAAGCCACCACCCATGGTACCATGATGCACTTAAGCAGCCCAGAGGCCTCATTCACGTAAACCTTGGAGTCAGCCTCAGATACCCTCATCCCCTACCGACATAGTGAGTATAGCCTCAGGGGACCCTAAGCAGAGCCACCAGGTAAAGCTATTTACAAATTCCTCACCTACCAGGGGTCTGAGACAATGCCCTCTCATTATAATTCTCAGCGGTGCAGTTTTTTAGGCCACAATAGGTGATTAATGTAGAGTTCGATGCTTTTACTGCTGTAAACTCCTAGCCACACAACAAAGACCATGATGAACCTCAAAGAAAGGTTTGAAACCTGGAATCAAAAACGCTAAACCACCAGATGAACCTGCACAGGCATGTGGGTGGCAAGGCTGAGAATCACCCTCTGCAAGGAAGATAGGGAACGCTAGTGTCTTCATTTTTCCCTTGTGTTACTCTTTGAAATATTATCTGTTATTATTGGGGTGTGTGTGTGTGTGTGCATGTGCATATACATGCATGTGCATATATGCATATATGCATATGTGTGGTAATTTCAAATTTTGTATTCAATTGCTCTCCACCTTGTTTTTTTGAGATAGTCTCTCACTTGTCTTAGAACCCCCTGATTTAGGTAGGTTGCCTCCTTAGCTCTGGGAGTATAAGCGTGTACTGTCATGCCTGGCTTTATGTGTGTGTGTGTGTGTGTGTGTGTGTGTGTGTGTGTGTGTGTGTTCTGGGGATGGCACTCAGGTCCCCATGCTAGCTAGCATAGCAAGCAATACTAAGTGACTGATTGAACTATTTCCTCAGCCTCACTGTAAAGACTCAGGTAGGTGTTGGCCAACAAGGAACAGAGATGGAAGGCTTTATGCTGGCCTGGCCCTGTCACCCAGTGCCCTGGTTAGCCCAGATGCAAAGGACCCCTTTAAAAAAAGACCCCGCCCACTTATGCTGTCTTTCCTGCTGTTCCCCTGGGGCAGACAGGACTTTTCCTGTCTCCCTCTTCTCTCCTGTCCTCTGTCTCTCTGTCTCTGTGTCTCTTCACCTCTTTTCCCTTCCGCCTTCCATCTCCATTCCTGGTTGGCCAACACCTACCCCTCCCTTTGCTCCCTTTGCCCCGTGAACTCCATGCGGGTTTGTTGGATTTTGTGGTTCATGTTTCGTCGCCTGCAGAAGCTGCAGCAAAACAGCAACACTCATTCTCTTCATCCAGGTCCAATGAAATCATACCTGCTGCTCATATGGAATGAATGAATGAATGAATGAATTTGTAATGAAATCATATCTGCTGCTCACAGGGAATAAATGAATGAATGAAGAATGAATTTGTAGAGAGAGAGATCTTTCTTTAACTTGCCCATTGAAGAGAGCTCTATGTTTACATGTTGAACTCAGCATCCTTAGAATAAAATGTTCTCATCCATAGCCCAGAGACTGTAGAATATAAAATATTTACGAGCCCTGCGTGGAAGAACAGAGTCTGCACCGGCCATGGAATTGTCTCTGTTTGCCCACACACATCATGTTACAGAGCTGCTCCGTCTCCGTCCCCCGGGCTCCTGTGATAGAGGGGGAGAGGTAATGCTGAAGTCTGTGGTTTCTGTACGTGAATGTCCAGACCCTGCTGCCTCTGTGGCCTCAGTCCCTACCAACCCCTTCGGAGCAGGGCCATCCAGACTGGTCCTCCCCACCACACCAGGGCAGGTGCCAGTCTGTGACACTGCTTCCTAGACCCCGATGTCTGCCGTTTCCAAACAATCTTCCTGAGTGGCGCTCCCCGGCATGGCACTGCCTTTAGTCATTGTTCCCCTGGGCGAATTCGGCTAGACCACCCGATGGCCACCACCGGAGAGGCCAGCTCTGCTTGCTTACCCAACTGGGACTTTCCCATCCCTGACTTCCAAGTTTCCTTCTGCAGTGCGGGAGGGAACTGGCTTTAAGTCTCACATTGTCTCTTCTTTGGGTTTTCTCTGGGTCAGCGGTGGCCTCTGACATCCTGGATGAGAACCGGGGGCTTTGATACCAGCCTTCCACTGACGTGTGTCTCACCCTCAGCCTTCCCCCTGGAAGGCCTGGAAGGAGAACGAGAACCTTGGGGCCATGAAGGAGCGTCTCTTCATCTATTAATGACATCCCATGACGCTTCAGAGCATACAACCATCCGTTGACAAGCTGCTATCAGACCTCTGGAGATCCCATACCCCCCAATCTGAAGTGGGGCTTTGGGCTAAAGACTCCCCAGTCTCTAGTCCTAGAGGAAAACCTGAGGGGTGAGGAGGAGACCCACAGGCCTTTCCAGTTCTCCTGGGACCCCCTTCACTCCCTACTTTTTCCATCCTTGGAACTGAAGTCCCCCTACCTGCCAGGTAGAGCTGGTTGTGCACCTGTGGAATAATTTCTGGTATCATCCAAGGAGACATGCCCCACCTAGGATCTGCCTTTAAAATTCATTTTGAACCCTGCCTCTCCTTGACCTTGGGACTAAGGCATAGAGGAGGGAGCTTCCTCTCGAGACAGCACTGTTGATGCCTGGAGCCAAGCACCTCAGCTAAGTGAGCTTCCGTAACTGGGAAAGTCACCCTCTGCAGTGTAGATATGAAACACCACTGCCTTCATTTTCCCTTGTATTATTCTCATCTTTTAAAAATAATTGGTGGCACATGCCTTTAATTCCAGTACTCAGGAGGCAGAGGCAGCCGAAATTCTGTGAGTTCGAGGCCAGCCTGGTCTACAGAGTGAGTTCCAGGATAGACTCCAAAGCAATGCAGGAAAGCCCTGTCTCAAAAACCAAACCAAACCAAAAAATTACTACTATTTATTTATGTGTGGGAGAAGTGTGCGAGTGCATGAGTGTGGGTGGGTGCACACACACACACACACACACACACACACACACACACACACACACACAGCAACTGTGAATATCTTCTGCTGGGCTCTAGCTGTCCTGTCACTCTATTTGATGTCTCCAATTCCACCCTGGCCAGCTGACTTACATTTGTCCCCAGAGCCACCGATCCCCTTCCTGACAAGCCCATGCCCATGTGCTGGGATGCTCCTTCACTAGAGGCTTCCTATACCTCCCTCCCCCAGTACTGCCTGCCTGGGACCAGGTACACTGTGGCTCCTTCCCACCGGCTTCTGTCTCCATCTGCTCCCAGCCCCTCCTTGGTGGCCAGGATCTAGTGTTAACTCGACAGGTAGCCTCATGGTTCCAGTTCCTTCTTGGATCCTCACGGTTCCGGCCTCTCTGGCCAAGCTCCCTCATGCTATCAGCTGCTTGTCTACAGCTAAGAGCTCCCTCTCCCTTCAGCCTTGTCACAGGCAGGGAAGGAGGCGGTGGCTCTCGGGAGTACTGTCAGTTTCTCCTCTTCCACGACCCTGCCTGAGTCACTTCCCGTGGGAAAAGGTCCTGAGTCAGAGTTAATCACTCCCCTCTTCTCCCTGCTACATGAAACTGTGTGTGATTTCTCCCCACAGCTACCTCCTCCCTGCGGAGCCACCGCTTCTTGCCACAACTGTCCTAGTTGTCCCCTGACTCCTCGCTGCCCCTGCTCGTTCTAGTCTAGAGTGGGCATTTGAAATTGCAGGGCAAAGATGGAGTTGTAGAGCGCCTGGCATGCATGGAGTCCTGGGTTTTGAGCCTAGCACCAAATAAACCCGGCGCGGTAGTACAGTCCTATAATCTCTGTACGTAGGTGTTAGGAGTCTGAAAATCAAAAGTTCAAAGTCATTCTTGACTAAATAGTAAGTTCAAGATCAGGCTGGTGTACAGAAGGCCTTGTCACACATGTACACACACACACACACACACACACACGTATATACATGCATGCATGCATGAATGCATACATGCATATATGTCCAGGCAGTATCTCCATACAGATCTCTCTACTCAAAATCCTCTGGTGAGGCTGCAGAGATGGCTCAGCAATAAAGAGCGCTTGCTGCTCTTC